AGCCAGCAATGCTGGCTGGGGAATTCTGGGAGTTGAAGTCCTCACATCTTAAAGGTGCCAACGTTGAGAAACACTGCTCTGGAGTTAGGAGCCCTCCTGAAGCCAGACGTCTTTGGGTATCAAGATACATGTGCGGCGGACGGCATTTCTCTCTGCTTCCGGCTGTTGCCTTTGTGGGATTTCATTTGTGGCCTGTTCCTGGCCTTTGAAAATGAAGATGGTTCCTTAAGGTGCAGGAGGGCATGAGGAAGAAGACCTCTAGAAACACCTCTGGCCAGCCATCTTCCAAACATGCATCTGGAAGGGGAGTCAAAACACATCTGATAATGTAATTTGCATGCTTTGCCGGGCTGGGGGATTCTGGGAGTTGAAGTCCACGCGTCTTAAAGTTGCCGAGGTTGAGAGACACTGCTCTAGAGACAATTCCTTTCCTTTTGGGTCCTAGCCCCATCTTCTACACCAAGGGGCATTTTTTCCATGGCATGGAGGGCTCTTAAAATTATTCTGCTTGCTTTTGGCAAGGGTGCACACAGTACTTACAGAAAGAGTGAAGTTTTTTCCTGGGGGGTGGCAGAAAGGGAGGGGACCCAGCGTCTTAAGCCAGCTGTTTGGTGTTCATTTTATGCAAGCGACTGGTGCCCAAGCCCCAAGACGGTGGTCTTCGTGGAGGCCCCTGGCTGGTCTCTGCTGGGAGAGGAGAGAGGAATTTGGCCTGTCCAGCTCCTCCTTTGCTTAGCTTGAAATGAAGCCAGCTTCACCTCTGCCCTGAACGCCCTGGCTGAGCTTTACTTGGGGTTCTCCTCTCCCCCAACCCACCTGCAATGGGGGGGGGTTAAGAATCGGGCCCCTCCTGCGGGATTCTGGCTTAAGGCTCCGTCCACGCCAGCACACAGAGCACATCCAACAATTGGGCATGAGGTTTGCTGAGTTGCTGCTGGTGCCCTTTGTCCAGCTATGGTTATTGCATTTTAATTGTCATGCAAATTGGCCGTGGCCGCTTCAGCGGATTATCGCACATCTCTGTCTGCTTTAATAATGCGCCTTCTTAACTTCTCCCTGAAGGCTGCACGTCGAGATTTCATTTGACGTGAACCAGAAACTTCATGGAGAGATCATGCTGTTTTCTTGGCGATGATACAGAAATGCTTTGTTCCAGGATGTGGTTCTTTGTTTTTTCGGTTTTACTTCCCAGTCTAGTTCATAGCGGTGGGATTTACTGGTGGTTCCCCATCCGCTTATTAACGGATGCTCGGCCGTTTCAGGATCGGCCAGCTGCTGCCAGCATTAAATTCTACAATGCACGAGGCAATAGATACATTAACAAAATATATTCATTAATGCCTATGGAGATATTAAAAAGTAGGAGTTACCAAGTGCTCCCCGGTCTCCTTTTAAAAGGAAGGCAGCTTTTTCTGGCTTGAGTTTCTTTCGGGCCCCTTGCGTTTTGCTCTGGCATCCCTCCAGGGCTCTGCAGCGCTGCATCTGCAGCCCCAGCGATGCAGACTTAGGGAGCGGACAAGCGAGGTCCAAAGGCCCCTAATTCTTTCGGCACCCCTAATTCCTTCTGCTTCTCTCTCTCCCTGCGGCCATCAGACGGGAAGGAGTACGACATCTACGTCTCCTACGCGAGGAACACGGAGGAGGAGGACTTCGTGCTGCTGACCCTTCGGGGCGTCCTGGAGAACGAGTACGGCTACAAGCTGTGCATTTTTGACCGAGACAGTCTCCCCGGGGGAAGTGAGTATCCCAAACAGGGTGCCTCTTGGCTCTCCATGGGGGGCCGGGCTGCCTCCCTCTTTGTTGCTCCCTCCTGCGCCCCGGGTGCCTGCGCAGCTCCAGCCGATGGGGCAAGAGAAGGGCCCTGGCGCGGCTCCCCCCAGAAGGGAAGTTGTGGGCTCCGCGGGCGCGTTGGATTGGAACGTCGCTGCCTGCGGCTTTTGAAATGCCAGATGTTGCTCTTTTCCCAACAGAGCGGCTTTTGATCGCGTTAGGCTTCCTTCCCTGGGGGAAGAGCTGAGGATGCTCACAAGGAGCTTCTGCAAAGATAGCGTAGGCCAAGAGGGAGAGCGGGGTGGGCGACTCAGGGCCCTGTGCAAACCACGGGCCTCCTTGGGGGGATAAGGAGCCCAGGGAAGCTGTGACCTAAACCCTAAAAACGGCATGGCAGTTTTGAAAAAGGGAATCCAACCTGCTTTCCAAGGGGAAAACGGGAACCTCAGTTGATGCTCATTTTGCATTATTGCCAATTCTTCTTTTGTGTCCAAACCATTCCTGGCCAGCCACAGATGCCAAAGGCTGCCCACCTTTGGCTTAAAGCAGTGTTTCTCAACCTCAGGAACTTTAAGATGGGTGGACTTCAACTCCCAGAATTCCCCA